CGTGATATGCCTGATATTCGTGATACACCTGATATTCGTGATATACCTGATATTCGTGATACACCTGATATTCGTGATACACCTGATATTCGTGATATACCTGATATTCGTGATACACCTGATATTCGTGATACACCTGATATTCGTGATACACCTGATGTTCGTCATACACCTGATATTCGTCATACACCGGGTATTCGTGATACACCTGATATTCGTGATACACCTGGTAATTGTGATTCATCTGATATTTGTGATATACCTGATATTCGTGATACACCTGATATTCCTGATACACCTGATATTCGTGTAACCGTAACAGTATCCTATCTGTTTGAATTGTTCCAAAGAATAACTCATCTCATGTCCCGTAAGTCTAATTACACATACCCATAGAGGCGAACAAGGGAACTCATGAAAGTACTAGTGTTCCTTTATTTATTTCCAGAATTTCACCCACAGTGTAATGCATACCTTGTGAAGAAACCTTGACAAAAATAAGGGAGCACCTGTACTTTCATGTGTTCCCTTATTCGTTTCCATGAGTATATCCTATGCATTTGCCTTTCTGTTCTAATTCTTTCTTGAGCAGTAAGACAAAAGACCTTACATGTTCATTTTTACACCTGCTATTTGTGAGCTGTAGGTAGTATTGTGCGTCATTTATGGGGAATTATTTTCTCCAGGTCACCATGGAATCATATGTTTACATGCATAGCATATTGACAGGAATTCTAGGTTGCCCTGAAAATGTACACAATTTAAAACACCCTCGCACGTTATGTGGCTATAGAGGCATTCTCTTCCTTGGATGTTTGTTTGTGTTCTGGTAAATAGGCATTGTGTCATTGTGTATCGTGCCTTCAATTGATCTGCCCATAAATGATAAGTCTGACATTGAGGGCTAAGAAGCGAAACAGATTGCAGTGTTTTGAAGCGAGACAGACTCAAGTGTCTGAAAGCGGAACCTACTGCAGCATGTAAAAGTAAAACATACGACAGTGTGTGGAAGCAGAGCATACTGCAGTGTGACGAACCGACATACATTGCTGTGTGTAGAAGCGGAAAATATTGCTGTGTACTGAAGCGAAACATACCCCAGTCTGTGGAAGCAACACATACTGAACTGTAGGAAAGCGAATTAAACTGCATTGTGTAAAAACGAAACATACTGTAGTGTGTAGAAACAAAACATACTGCACTGTGTGAACGCAAAAACAAACTGCAGTGTGTAGAAGAAACAAAACAAACCACACTGCATTGTGTGTGAACAACTGCAAAACATACTGCATTGTAGAAACCAGAAATACTGCACTGTGTGAAGGCGAAACAAACCACACTGTGAGAAAACAAAACATGCTGCAGTGTGTAGAAACAATATATACTGCTCTGTGTGAAAGTGAAACAAACCACACTGTGTAAAATCAAAACATACTGCAGTGTGTAGAAACAATGTGTTGAAACAAACTGCACTGTGTAAAATCAAAACATACTGCAGTGTGTTGAAACGAAACATACTGCACTGGGTGAAGGCGAAACAAACTGCACTGTGTAAAATCAAAACATACTGTAGTGTGTTGAAAAGAAACATACTGCACTGGGTGAAGGCGAAACAAATTGCACTCTGCAGCCAAATGTAACTTTGCCTTGAGTTATTGATTTGAAATGTGCATTAGATAGATACTATAAGGGGACATGGTTATTGGAAAAAGTATGTTTGAGACATATGTGATTCTGGATACGAATAGATACAGCTTTGTTTATTGACTGTTTCTGTCAGCTACAGGAACTCATTCACCCGTAATGTCAGGTTTGCAGCATGCTGTATTGAACGTCAGCAACATCTTCCGCCAAAGTTATCACCAAAGTAGACACCTATTATCTACAGCTGCTTGGACTTTCCTCAGTAAATAAAAACGATGGCCCTAAAATACTTGAAATACTGACAAAAAAGATGGTTAACCCAACGCACTCACTTAAAACACTAAGACCGTACATAAGTATGTGTATACCTTCATTAGGGTTCCAGCTGAATAGTTTCGTATGCAATTGTCCTTTGACAAGTGGAAATATAATGATTCTAGTGAACAATGTCCCTCGGGTTTGTTGCGCGTTTTGTATAATTAATACCACGCGGTCGTTCGATATCTTGGGTGAAAGTATCGTGAGAATTTGACGTGTATAGCGCAAAGCTTAAGGAGCCTGTATATCAATGTATGCCCACTATTCCTTGTGTGTTTACATGGCACATTGGTGGGTTTCATTGTGATTATGCAAACACAATTTATGGATGCAAAGATACTTAATATATCATTGCATATACTGATGTTAAGCAAGACTCCATAGATCTATACCAAACTTCTGATCTATTGTCATCTTAGAAATACTTATTAAACAATGCATTGAATCAGGAACTGGTGGTTCGATGAACCTATTTATCGAACAAAACCAATTTCGTTTTCAGTCTTAGTTGATTAAACCTTCGACCTTTTGTGAAGTCAATCGCTAAATCTATAATGCATGCATACAAATAATGGTTAAATCAAAGAAACAGATGCCTTTTTGTATGTACGTTTTCTGCTTTCTAAATACCCATGTTTGTGCCTGTGCCCGTGCGAGTGCGTGTGTGCGTGCGTGCGTGTTACTCCCAGGAACGAAAAAGATGTTTGTTATTTAACGCCGCACTGGAACAGAAAATCCAGTGATCAACAACGTGAGCATCGGTCTACGCAAGTGGGATACGATGACATGCGTCAGCTAAGGCGTTAGTTGCCTCTTACGACAAGCATGGGTTGCTGAAGACCTATTCTAACCCGGATCTTCTAGGATCCCAAACAAAATGTGCCCAAGCCGTGAGGTTAAGCATCGGTGTGATACAATTTAACAAAGGATACAGCCTCTTTGATACCATTGCTTCCTCCGCTGAGTATATACGCAAATGGCTTTGTATTCTACCCAGGATTTTATTTCCCATGCAAGATAACAATTTATGATAACTAATGTATTACAGGGTATGTCATCATACTTTAAATTGCGGAATGGTTGTGACACGCAAAACAACCAGTGGGCGAAGAAAATAAAACAATTTACGTGGAATCTGCTCTGTGTACCAAAGTGGAAGCTCCAATCAGTTTGATACAAGTCTTACCAGAACATGGCATCGATCAAATGGACTTCCCTCCCTGATGAACTTAAGCTGTCACCAACCCTTGAAAAGATTAAGCGTCATCTCAAAACCTTTCTCTATAAAAAGTAATCTGTCAGTGGACTTCAATAATGCCTTACTGATTGTTAGCGCTGTGAGCATACCTGGTGTGGAGTTATATAAATGGACACATTATTATTGACTTTGAGTTAACCTGAAATGTGATGATTGCGGCATTAAACACCATTCATTTACTAACCCAGTTAACGCTCATCACTCAAGGAGGATTCATGTAAACGTACAGTACAACCAGAAATTATTGAGAATTTAAAGATTGTAATTTTTTTTTTTTTCACTCATTACTCACGTATTAAATGTGAATATTAGCAGAACATAACTCCAGATTCAAAGACAGGTGAACAGTTAGTATTTTGTCAAGTCACCATGGGCAGCAATGCAGGCTTCAATGCGACGGGGCATACTACTGATCAAAGAAGTTAGAAAGTCGTGGTCCATGCTGTCCCAATATCGGACCACCTCTTCTTTCATTTCAGCAATATTTGTCAGATTTTTCTTACTTACACTTTCCTTTATAAGTCCCCAAACATGTTCTATTGGATTTAGGTCAAGGCTATAGCTTGGCCAATCTACTAATGTCACATTTTGTGTCCGTAACCAGGCCTGTGAATGCATTGAACGATGTTTGGGTCGTTGTCCTGCTAGAAAATCCAAAACTTTCCATAGAACACGTGAACAGATGGAAGTAAATATCCCTCGAGAATATCTGTGTACCGCTCACTGTTCACATTCCCTTCAAATACACAGAGGGGCGTTGCCCCTAACACAGATATGCCACCTCACACGTTAAATTTCGCACTGTACTTTGGGCGCTGATACAAAGGTTTTTCAGTAAGTTTGGTCCAGAATGTCAGTGTATTAGGAAACAGCCACACAGAACTTTCATCTGAGCAAATCACATTGTCCCTGTTAAAACGTCTATGCTGTAAGCACCAGTTCAACCTTCGCTCTTTTTGTTCAGGTTTCATGAACGGTGATGGAATTTCTCGACTTTTTTGCCAATCCATTGCATGCAGCTCAGTTCTAATTGCTCCTTACAGACAGCCATAGTTCCTCTATCAATCATATCCAGCCTTAAGTTTTCTAAACTCCTTCGTTTGTTTTTAGAAACAAGAATACCAAGCCGCCTCCTGTCACCGACAGTTAATTTTCTGAGCCTACCTGCGCCTCCCTTGTTGCTCAATACCATATTCATTTGCAATATGTTTCAAAACACGATAAACAGTGGACAAAGGGATGTCTGTCTACTTGAAATCACTTTAGCTGATCTGATGTCCTTGTTATAATACTCTAAAATCAACTTCCTCTTCTCTAAATCATCCATACTGAGGATCACTGAAAATGTCGTCTGCTAGCAATGAAGTCAAGCACTTGATAGCTGGTCAAGGTTGTTTAAACTAGAAATCCAATTAACATATTGCTAAAATTCTCAATAATTTCTGGTCATACTATATCTGAGTAGTATTATGAGTGTTTGACTTTATGAGATTCTATGAGCTTTCTCAATCAAAGCGTTTGCCTACACAACCAACTGTAAATACCAGCTTTGCTTAATGAAGTGTTCACACACGCCACCATCGTGTTTTAATGACCCCAGTGGCATCAACCCGGAACCAGTCATCCGATCAAAGATACTTCGCCATGTGTAGAATTTCTTTAGAAAAATATCATTCGTGAAGGGACCAAGACCATTAAGACATTTCGTTCCTAGGGGGCATGATACAATGTATTATTCATACACTGTCGTGAAAGTAGCAACTGTCAGCAGTATCCTGCTGCGGTGCCATGTGGGTTGGGCGGAAATGGAAATGCTGAAGATATCCTCTTTGTTGTGTTTGATTCTGGCATATACAAATGGTAAGATATATTTTGGTTTACTTTTTGTGGATCATCTGATCAATCTCGTAAGCCAAAAAATTCAAATTCAAAATGATATCACTTGTTATATTTTCTATAACGGGGTGCCTGTATTGTCTTTTAAAGGGTTTAAAAAAGTCAAGTCATTTCCGCTAATTTATTTATTTATTTATTATACCAACAGCTTACCGTATGTCAAGAGAACATGACACTGAGTAAACGGACGTCTGGCCGTCACAACCACAGAATAGCAAGTTGTATTTTGCCTTTAGGCGGTAAAATAAGAATGAAATAAGAATAAAGGGCGTCGTGGTAGTTTATTGGTTAAAAGTGCGCGACGCCGTAGATACCGCTCCTGTTGATCTAACCACTTGGTAGGGCAGACTAGTGGTTAAAGCGTTTGCTCGTGACACCGAAGACACGGTTTCGAATCCCATGACGGGGGCAATTTGTGAAGCCCATTTCTGGTGTCCCCTGCCTTGACCTTACTTAGATATTGCTACAAGCAGGTTAGAACCTTATTGACTCACTCTGTTCCAGGTGACATTGGATATACCTGCTCAGACGGTTTCACTTATCTGGCATCCACAAAGCTCTGCTACAAGTACATCGATGACCAGGTCACCAAAAACACTGCCGAGGGCATGTGTGAGAACATTTTCGCAGTTTTGGTGGAGGTGACGTCGTTTGACGTTGAGGCTTTAATCAAACAACGGAGGCAGATAGATGGGTAGGTTATTATCCTTGTCCGATATTCATGCATATCATGACATCATTTGAATAAGGGTTCCAGACTGAAAACCAAAAGAACGGAGTCACCTCAAAAACTGTCTCTTGCGCTCGGTTGAAAACCTCTTATACGCTCGTATTCAAAGATCATAATATACGCACGTAGATGTAAGCGATTAAGAAAGATACACATACACATACTCATACAGACACGCACACGCACACGCACTCAATTATCTCTCTCTCTCTCTCTCTCTTCTCTCTCTCTCTCTCTCTCTCTCTCTCTCTCTATATATATATATATATATATATATATATATATATATATACGCACAACATGTCCAAAATAGTACAGGTGTTCAGTCATAATTATTACATAGATAAATAAAAACAGAATGCCTTTTTCTCCAACAGGTTTCGTTCTTTACTCTTCAGGGAGATTGAAGCGGTTACAGTATAAGGAGATTAAAGTATTAAGGGAGATTAAAGCGTAATGACGTCATACTGTAACCGCTTCAATCTCCCTGAAGAGTAAAGAACGAAACATGTTGGAGAAAAAGGCATTCTGTTTTTATTTATCTATGTAATATATATATGTATATATATACACACACTCAGTCACAGCTGTTAGGTTAGGTGATTGTCTAAGTGTGTGTGTGTGTGTGTCTGTCTCTCTCTGTGTGTGTTTTACGTGTGTGTATATTTTTACACTCCCTGTTTCAGGTTTTACATGATCTTTGCAGTTAATGTAGCGTATTGTCTACAACTGATAGTTGAACTGACTTTGTAAATTATCAGAAGTGTTTTCTACATTAACATCAAATTTCTTTGGAGAGTTTCTTGGTTGTTTAACGATGCTCTAGTGATGTCGATTTACTAAGACAACAACCCAAAGAAATGGACCTTCTGTTATTTTCTCTCCACTCTTATTTCTATATAAATGTGTGTAATGATTACTTTAGTTTACATTTTTTTTAACTATACTTAAATGTATGCTTGGCCTTTAGTAGCCCATGCTTGTCATAAGAGGCGACTAACGGGATCGGATAGTCAGGCTCGCTGATTTGGTTGACACATGTCATCGATTCCCAATGGCGTAGATGATCATGCTGTTGATCACTGGATTGTCTGGTCCAGATTCGATTATTTACAGACTGCCAATATAAAGCTGGAATATTGCTGAGTGCGGCGTAAACCTAGACTCACTCACTCACTCCTACCAAACGCACATTTGACTTCCTCCAGTAGTTACTGCATTACTGCATTAATTACCAATCATTGTTGTTAATCCTGTCCACACACTGACCACACACTCAGCGCACATTTAACATTAGCGTATTCGGCAATATTCACTCAAATTTTATTGTCAGTGAGTGAGAATATTTAACAAAGCGTTTAAAAGCCAAAGGTTTGTTGTCATCCATCCACTAACAGCCGTTTGGCCAGCAAACATCATCATCATCATCATCATAAAAAAGATCTATATAGCGCCATTAACAGAATGCAAAGTTAGACACTGTTTGGTTTGTTTTTTTAACGAGTGATATGCTCATCGAGCGCGTCCAGTTTGGCTACGTTGACCACGAGCGATCCGCGAATGGTTTGCATGGCCTTGTCCTGCCCTTACAGTTCCCGAAAGGTAAATTCGAACCCGGGCAAGCGTTCGTTCCGGTACGTGGTCAATAGTTTTTCGACGTCATTCGATGCGTCTTGAGCGCGTTATGGTACGTCACTCAAATCATCTCGACCGAGTGCAACCGCCAAGGCATGGAGCTCGGCATTCGCTTCTCGTAAAGCCTTGTCGAACTTCCCGCTTATTTATTGTCGATAACTGGTTATATTTACATTGTCGCGGATAAAGTCGACACCGTGGCGACTGGCCAGTGTGGACAAAGCAAGAGGTTTTTTTCGTACGGGAGTGCATGAGATCGATACCCGGAGCATCTTTCACTCGCAGTATCCCTTTATGATCGAGTTCGAACTTGCAAGGATCGCGATAAAGAGGAGCTATATTTTCTTTTGCTCCAGGGCATCGTAATAATCATCGACGGTCGTTTTAGCAGATCATCGCCCATGTTTCTTTGCGCGAACGAGGTCTCCTCATCGTCGAGCAAAGGGGTTCTATCGTCCCCCAAATCGTCCATGGGAATATTGTCGCCAAAACCACCTTCAGCCATGGTTCTATTAAAGACTTTTGTGAACTTTGAGGATTGGACTGTTCCAACTCTTATCGGGCGTTTGTGAGTATAAAATGTACTGTTGTCAGCAGCTAATGAGTGTTGTAACTATGACACTGAACTCAGTCTGTTTCCCACTTCGGTGAAATTTATGGCAATGTTTATACACAAGATACACGTGTTTTGCTATTTTTAGCTGACATACTAGTGCGCATATCAGCTCACAATGCCGGATGTTTACGTAGTCTCTGTGTTGTAGTTGGTAGGGATCTTCAAGTGAGTTACTACTTTCTATGAGAGTTTGATTTTTTTAATTTATATATTTTTTGTTAACCTGAGCATTAGATTGTTCCAATTCGTATCGGACGTTTGTGAATATAAAATGTACAGTTTTCAGTTCATGAATGTTGTATCTATGAAACTAGTACACGTGCTTTGCTATCTTTAGCTGACGTTCAGTGCGTATATCCGCTCACAATACCGGATGTTGTAGTCGATAGGGCTCTTCACGTTAGTTACTATTTACTTTTGAATCTAACTTTGGCTAAATATTTTGTCCATTATCCCATTTGTTATGCTTTTATAACGCACGAACGAGGTTATCATAGCCGGTACACTTTTATCAAATCATTTCGCTAACTTATTTTCCTTATTGAATGATGAAAAATATATGTGCATGTCAACGATAACGAATAATAGCTGGGTTTGGAAGAGAGGTGGACAAGTCAACCCTTTTTCTTGGTTTTTAACTCTAATTTCTTTTCTTTTTTAAAAAGAAATATAGTTTTACTTTGTTTCTACACACAAGCATCTATGTCGTCCTTTTCATTGTGTTTATCTCTCTCTTTCCTCTTTATTTTTCCTATGCATCAAATTTTTGTTTCCAATACGGTACAAATTTCGCATTCTTCTGTAACAATACTCCAATTTTTCTTTGCATTGTAACTTTCTCTCACCTCGCTATCTTTCTTATTAAAATAAATTTGTTGCCAACATTCCAGTACAAATCTCTCCTTCACTTGTAACAATACCCCAATTTCCAAATCATCTTAAAACAACCACTATAACATTTTGTTCAAAGCCCTTTCCTTTTACATCACTTATGAAGCATTTTATTTTGAGATCACTGCATTCAAGAACTATTGTTTTAGTATCTCACTGTGGATAAGACAAAGAAAATTAAAATGATTTCAGCTAACTGTAGAGGCTTAGCTGACAAAAGCAAACGAAAGGAAGTGGTGAATTTATTTAAGAAAAAAGCTTATTCTATAATCTGTTTACAAGACATCCATGTCAATAAAGAAGTTATTAACAGAGTGAAAAATGAATGGGGACTGCAAAGTATAATTGCACCATTTAACTCTAGAGGAGTAGCTATACTCTCCAATAATGACATCGATCTCACTATAAATAGAACACTAGAGGATGAAAACGGTAATTATATTATTGCAGATGTAACCGTAAATGATACACGATTTACCAATTTGGATGGACCTAATATTGATGATCCCAATTTTTATTTAAAATTATTTGAAAACATCTGTAGTTTTGATAATGAATCCGTAGCTATTGTTGGTGACTGGAATCTGGTTCTGGATCCTTCCAATGATTTGGAAAATTACAAAAATATTAACAACCCCAAGGCCAGAGATATAGTTTTAGACAAAATTGAATCCTTAGATCTTATTGATATCTGGCGGGAACTAAATCCTGATTTAAGAAAATATACATGGTGGAAAAAAACAGACCATTCAGCTATTAGTTTTACTTTCTCAAACACTATTAATCAAAAAAGAGGGAGGGGTTACTGGAAATTCAATACTTCTTTACTCTTAAATCCCGATTATGCTGATTTAGTCAGATCAATCTTAAAGGAGACGACCAAAGAATACTCAGATATTAACTCTTATGCTGAGAATGTGAATGACTCAGATATCAAACTTAAGATAGATGACAGCTTATTCTTAGAAACATTTCTGATGAATGTTTGAGGTTAATCAATATCTTTTTCATCTTATCTTAAAGAGAAAACAAAGGACAAAACAAATGAGTTAGAAACTAAAATAAGAGACTGTGAAGATACCATTCGAACAAAATTTCCAAACGTAGATGAAGCCTTACTATCTGAACTTTCTAAATTAAAATCAGAACTAAAACAAATAAGGAAGAAGAGATACGAGGAATTCAACTCAGAAAAACAGAATTCTATGGTATGAAGGGGAAAAACCAACAAAATATTTCTGTCACTTAGAAAATAGGAATTATGTTAGCAAATCAATTAATAAAATTATTACAGATAAGAATGACGAAATTACTGACAGCGATGCAGTCTTAAATGAACTTAAAGAGTTCTATAAAAAACTGCATTCTTCTGCTCAGAACTATGGGAATGATGCATGTTTAGAAAATGTGATAACTCCAACCTTGAGTCACCAACAGAGAGACAAATTGGAAAAAGAATTAGACATAAATGAAATATCATTGGCAATAAAAAGTAGGAAAAATAACAAAAGCCCCGGTATAGATGGATTTGCAATTGATTTCTTTTAATTCTTCTGGAAAGAACTAAAGGTCTGGATTTTCAGATTTATCAAAGATCTATGAACTGGAGACCAATTACTTTATTAAATGCTCTGCATAAATTAATAAGTGCATGTATGTCAAATCGGTTAAAAACTAACCTTTATTCCCTGATACATAACAACCAGACTGGATTTATACCTGGCAGAACATTAAGTGAAAACACAAGACTATTATATGTTTGAAACTAAGAAAAGAGACATGTCAGGTTTATTAATTGTGATCGACTTAAAAATAGCATTTG